TATCATTCATCTCATTTTGATTGTGGGAACATGTTCGGGTCCTCCTACGGGAAAAAACCATCTCTAAAGCGTTGGTGCTGTTGCTGGTGATGCTACTGCTAGCTCGCAGTATTTAAGTTTTTTTAAGATTTCTTTTTATTTTTTTTGAGATTTTTTGAGATATTTTAAGGTTTTTATTAAGATTTTTATTATTTTAAGATTAAGATTTAAGATTTTAAGATCCAGCCATAATAATGTGAAGGGCATTGATGTCATCAGGGATAGGTAGTTAAGCGTACAACAGTGGCACCAGCATTTTGCTGGATAAGGCATACAACAGGCCAATCATCCTAGGCCTTTAGGCCCGGGACGATGGACTTGTCGTAGTGTTTATGTGGTAATTACGACAGTTTGTGTTTTAATTTGCCACGAAACCTGGCTGTTTTATCTGTGTTAAGTTGTCAGTGGAATTTAAATCTAAATATTTTATGATTATGAAAAAGGTGTTAACTAAAAAGTAATAAGTAAAAGTAAAAAAATTAAAACTGAATTGAAATGCTTCGGTCCATTAAGTCGCATACATTCGCATGGAAGACTAACTTATGCAAATGAGTAAATTGGTGATTTGTAGATTTTTTTTTTACTTGCAGTTGTGTTGGTATCTATAAAAATGGACGTGTGGAAATTATCGCCAATGAACAGGGCAATCGAATCACACCGTCGTACGTGGCGTTCAGTAGTGAGTCTGGTGAGCGTCTGATTGGTGATGCAGCCAAAAACCAGCTCACCACAAATCCGAAAAATACCGTTTTCGATGCGAAGCGTTTGATTGGCCGAGGTTTTAACGATACCACTGTGAAAAAAGACATGGAGCACTGGCCATTCGAAGTATGCCTTTTTTTTCTACCGAATTTCTACTCCGTTCATTTGTAATTTTAGGATTTCTTGTGCTTTTTTTACTTTTATGGGAATCTTAAACACTGTAAAATTCGAGCAGTAACACTTACACCAACAAAAATAGGAATTTCTGGCAGAGCTGTCGATGATTTTCTTTTTTCTTTTTAATGATTTTGTGAGGAGCATCTAAGAATGAATCATCAAAAGGCGATTTTTTCGAAATTTGATGGCGACGGGGGGTTCCTGGAGTGGAGGCGGCACCCCAGCCCAATCGATTATTCGATTTGCTTTATATATACATATATGCTTTATTTCAGGTACTGGACAACAACAACAAGCCGATGGTGCGAGTTTCAATTGGTGACGCTAAAAAAACGTTTGCCCCGGAAGAAATTTCAGCGATGGTTTTAACGAAAATGAAGGAAATCGCAGAGGCATATATTGGGAAAAAGGTGGAACACGCTGTGATCACAGTGCCGGCTTACTTTACTGATGCGCAACGGCAGGCTACGAAGGATGCTGGAACGATCGCCGGCCTAAATGTTGTCCGTATTATCAACGAACCAACGGCCGCCGCTATCGCTTATGGTCTAGATAAAAAAGAGGGCAAGTATTCACTTTTTGGCCAATTTAAAATTTCGTTTCCTGGAAACCCGGGTTGCCTTGGTTTCAGCTGCTCAGGACTCACAAGACTCACGTGCTTGCATGTGAAAGTTTCTGCG